AATTACATGTTTCTTATCTATAAAATGAGAATTATGATACTTAAGCTCACAGAGATTTTTGTATGAATTACATTTAATGAGATAATTTTAATCCATTCCTACTGGCTTTTGGGGTGGCTGTCATTAAATTGGATTTTGGTATAGCCTAGACCAACATAATTTAAAAAGTAATTCTACTTGTAGAAAAACATGTGATAGGATATGCTATATATTTAATATAAATTACTTTTGTGTATTTATGTAAAAGGAAATGTCATATAAAGGCAAGTTATCTAAAATCTAATTTCATATCTAAAATTTCTACTCAACAATTTTTATTTTTGTATACCTTTAGAATGTCCATGAACAAACGTCCTCTATAGGTCTCCCTCCCAATTTCCCTGGAGCCACCATTCTCTCCATTACTTACCCTTAGAATTATGGAACCATCTGATTCAACCTGGTCCTTCATACTCTTTGATTAGAAAATGAGCAAACATTGTCTATTTGCCCTTTAACACAATTCATTTTTTCATTCACTTATTTATACAAAAGCATGTCTCCCCTTATAGTCTAATGTTTCACTACAGCCATCCATTCAGGTAATAGTAGCCTTCCTGACTCACTCTGTTCAATGCACATTAAGTGTCACCAACAGACTAGTCTTCTTTAAACATTGTTTTTATTACATCAGCCCTACGTTGATGAACTTAACAGTGGTTTCTTCTCATCTATGAAATCAAGTTTAAATTCTTCTGCCTAGCTTTCAAGGCCCTTTCTATGCTATTGGCCTTGATACTTTCGAAAGATGTGTGCAACTTTCCTTTATCATTCTAACTGGATTCTTATATTGTCCCTGAAAAGATCATCTAATTTTCATTGTTTGGAATGATTGCTGCTTTCTTTCCACTTGTTCAAATCCTCTTTCGTGAATATTAGTGTATGAATTCATTAGCAAAAATATTATTCAATAATGACTGCTAGAGTTGTATTGAACAACATTTCAGTGAGAAATTTAATTTAAATTACAACCACCCTTTTATTAGTAGGGCTTTAATGAGTTATTTCACTTTACCTAAGAAACAATTCCAGCTTCACTGAAAGGCTCTCCTTGGAAGTCTGTGCTATGGCATTGAGGGTAGTCAAATCTTTTTCGTATCTCAGTAAGCAAACCTCTTAGTTAAGTATCACAATGAGCTCATCTTGTGTTAAATTCCATTCTTTAAAAACATTCGTAGAGAAGATTTGCTCTACGTTCTTCAAATAAGACGGAACTTTCGAGAATTGAATTTCATTTTAAATATGCTGGGGAGGTACTATTTAAGGACCCCTGTTTATCAGCAGCAGCAGCTATTTAGTGAGTACCTGCCATATGCCAGATAACTTATAGGTCTTTTATGCTTGTTATATAATCCTCACAAGATAAATAATTTGTCCAGGGTCTCGCATCTAGTTAAGTGGTAAGTCAGGATTTAAACCCAGATCTGCTTGATTCTAAAGTGTGCAATTTTCCCCCCTCAGAATATACAGCTACCCATTTACCTGTTTTATTAGAGACAAGCATATATACATTATTTAAAGTAAGGCATATCTGTTTGATATTGTGATTAGGATATCTTTTGATACTTATTAGCATCTCTCAAGCTATAATAGTAGCATTTTTCAGAATATATTTCATGGTAACACTAGTTCTGTGAGATGTTAATAAGTATAACTTGAAAAGTGAGTTCTGTGATCAATTAAATTTGGTAAACATAAGGTTAAACAGATTTGTTTACTACAGGATTTCTTAAAGCCTTTATCAGGCTAACACATATCATGAAGCTTTCCTTCTGGTACTTCTGTTAGCTAGGTCTTGGAATTTCTGACCTTCCTTCAGAGCTCACAGACCACATTTTGAGAGCCTGATCTAGGGCTTATATCAGAGTCTACTTTCAAACAGTAATATACCACTTTACATGTAGGATAAGAACCTTATATCAGCACCCTTGAATTACTACTCCTCTTTCTTATGTGGTTTTTGTCATGGGCTTTACTTTGTTATCAAAACCCTGTAATACGTTGTTATTATTTTTGCTTTAAACAGTTACTTTTTAAAAGAGATTAAAAATGAGAAAATGATATCTTTTATACTTTCCCATGTAAATTTACATTTCCAGCATTCTTCCTGGTTTGGATCCAGGTTTTCTTCTGGTATTATTTTGCTTCTGCCTGAAGAAGTTCCTTTAGAGTTTCTTGTAGGGCAGACCTGCGGAGAAAACAGACGCTGCGGCCATGGTCTCTCTCAGCATGCTTCTCTTTCCTTTCCCTTCACCTCTACGCTTAATTCTAACAATGTCTATTTTTAACTTCTTCACCCTTATCTCAGAAGAAGAGCTGACTCTTTTGCCCAAGACTAATCCATCTGTGCCTGGATGCCATTCCATTGCAACTCCATCAATTATTTCAACTTTTCTCGTGTCTCCCATGTCTTCCTCTCTTCCATCTTTTCCCTTTAGCCTACAAATGTGCTCGTCTTTCATCCTGAATCACCTTTCCCACGCTCTTCTGCCTTCTCAAGCTTCCAATCTCTCTGTTCTACTCTTTACAATCAAACTTGCTCAAATGTAGTCTATAGTTTTTCAGCTCATTGCAGTATTGTTCTTCCCTCTCCCTCTATATAACTTTTTTTTTACTAAGCTCTCCAGTGAGCTCCTAATTATTTTATCTAGTTACTTATTTTTGGTCTTCTATTCAACTGTTTGATACTATTTAATATTCAGTTATTGAAGCTCTACCAATTCTCATCCCATTCTCTGAAAATTCTTTTTCGTTTTCTTTTCCAGTTTCTCCTTTCTACATGCCTCTTAAGCATTTGTATTCTTCAAAACTCTGTTCTTGATCATCTTCTATTCTCAGCCTTCACCTTCTTTATGGGTGATATTGTCTAGTCCAGAGATTTTCAGTGGGGTCCCAGACCAGCAGTATCACCTGGGATCTTGTTAGAAATGCAAATTCTCAAGCTTTAACCAGAAGCTCTAAGGTGGAACCCATCAATTGATTCTGATACATGCAAAAGTTTCAGAACCACTTGTTTTTGTCATACGGCTTCAACTCTTTATCTCTAGTCTTGACACGTCATTTCATATGTTCATTTCCAGATCCATACATTAAATTGGATATTTCTACATGGAAGACCCAAAGTTCCTAACTGAACTCGTTATCTTCCCCCCACAACCTGCTCTTCTTTCTGTGTTTCCGGTGTCGGTTAGTGGTATTATCATCTACCCAGAGTCCCAAACAAGACATCCCAAAATCACATACTGCCTCTCCCTTATATTCTCTACTTTTATCTGCTCTTGAAATAGCTTCCGAATTAGAGATCCATGGGTTAGAAGAAGATGAGAGCTGAATTAGTGTAGCCAGGCAGCATTCAAGAGAGACCATTTATTCGGTGATTAGGAAGTCATTTGAGAGTTTAGTTTTGTTGAGTAGCAGGCTAAATAAATGAAAGTATAGTCTTACAACAGAATATTATCAACAATAAAAATGGTTGAATTACATCTCCCAGAAGAACAAGGATGAATGAATCTCAGGAACTTAATATATGATACATTATTCCATTTATGTAAAGTTCAAAAGCATGTAAAACTCAATGCTTTATTGTTTAAGAATACACATATATGTGGTAATAACATAGAGA